CCCCCCCCCCGCCCGGCGCCGCTGCCCCAGCCGCGGGCGGTGAACTTCTCGGATGCGCGGGAGGCGTTCCGGAGCAAGACCAGCGGCGAGCTCCTGCGCGGGCTGCTGGTGCTCCGCCTCTGCTCCCTGGAGCCGCTGGTGCAGCGCGCCGAGCAGGTGAGACTCTGCGGTCGGGCCTTGGCGAGCCCAGGCTCTTCCTCCCTTCAGAGCCTCCACCTTCAGATAACAGAAACACGGCTTTGTTTAAAAATAGGCTGATAGGCAGGAATTTCCAAAGGGTGAAAACGAAGTGGTTCACACGGAACCCCGGGCTGTTAAATAGCCCCAAAGGGTGTGTTCCTGTAACAAAGGAGGCTTCGTGTGCTTGTGGGCATACAGCCCGTGGTTGTCTCCTCCCGGTGAGACCTCTAAGATTGGGCGCAGGGTACCAATTCCGTTGTATCTCTGAGCGGACCCCTGGGATATCCACAGGGGTGCTGGGGAGAAGTTGGCCCGTCAAACTGGGGTGGTGCCTGAGGCTTCTGGCTGAATGTCCCCAGAACGGTAGCGGTGCACGAACCTTGCACTTTGCAAGCGACTCAGAGAAAAGTGAGAAGTTTGGAAGAAGCAGCTTTTGTGTGGAATGGCAAAAAGCAAAGCTTAAATCTACCCTTGTTAGCTTTAACGATGACTGTTCTAGGAATTATTCTTCTTCCTGAGAAACTCTGGGGAGTGTTTTGCAAAAGAATTAAAATTCTTTTACAAGTAACGAGATCACTGAGCCTTAACCAGGAAGCCAGCGCGGTGCCTGACCCTCTTACTCCTTCCCCAGCTGATGCACGTCAGCCAGAAGCTGTTGGGTCAGTGGCTCTTTGAGAAGCTGATGAAGCTGACCTTCTATGGGCAGTTTGTGGCTGGAGAGGACCAGGAAGCCATCAAGCCACTCATTCAGCGCTACCGTGCCTACGGCGTGGGCTCTGTGCTGGACTACAGTGTGGAGGAGGACCTGACCAGTGAGGAGGCCAAGAAGAAGGAACTAGAGTAAGAAACTGTTTTGAGGTGATGACAAGCAGCTGGGGGGTGGGGGCATGATCTGTGTGCCAAGTGGCTGACCGCTTCATCTGTAGCAACAGTTTGGGGAAGTTGAGGCCATAGCACATTACGTAAGAAGGGGTATGTCTGGGGCGGGAGGGGCATTGGCTTCAGGGAGGATTCGAAAATAGAGATGATGCAAGGAGTGCCCCAGCGATTAATCTACAGGAACTATTCCAGCAATGTGCAATAGCCAAGTTTGCCTTGCAAAGAAGCGCCAGGTTTCAGAGATGAGTCAGAAGGATCATGACTCGGTTGGGGGCATTGCTGGGTTTGGATTTGGAGGCCCGAGATGTTGCTCCGGGATGTTACTGGAGTCCCTCTCTGATGTTATGCAAGAGAGAGCCCTCCTCTCCTACGAGAAGTTGCAGCTGCACCAAAGATAATAATAATTAATTCAACTCGTATGCTGCCCAACCCTCAACGACTCTGAGCAGCTCACAAAGAAATTACAATGGAATCAGTAAGACATAAAATAAAGATAAAAGAAGGTGCCTTCAGGAAGAGCAAAACATCCCTGGGTTCACAATGCTCACAGGGTTAGTACTTCAGAAGCTTTGGTGGGCTTGCAAAGATCTCTGTGCAGCGCAAGTCTTATAAGAGCTGCTCGTGTAAACAGCCCAGCCTCCAGCTCCCCTCATTCCACGAGGCCAGTGTGGGTTGGGGCGGTGAGGTGAAGGCCAACACAGCAGTTTGGGGGTGCTGCTGTCTGTTGTAGGAGTGAAACAGGCTGTTGTGTCTATGAGCAAACAAGCAGGATCTGCATTGGGGACCCCCTCAAAACTAACTTGGAAGGAGTATTTCAGCAGGTGCAATGAACGCGGTGCCTTTTTTCCTCTGCAGTCAGCCAGGCCTCTTTTCAGAATCACAGAGATTCTTCTGCATCATTTCCAAAGCAGTCACAGGCCGTTCTACAAATGGCACTTCTTCCAAATGTAGGTGCTGGATGGGCAGCGTATGTTAACTTGGCCAGTGCAATACTTAAGATGTTCAGAAGGAGAGCAGGAATTAGTCTGTAGCATTGGAAGTATGAGGAAAGCAGGGCAGGCGGTCCCAAATGCAATGCTTTTTCCCCCCCAACCAAACAGGTTCTTGGAATGAAACTATGTTGAGGGGATCTGGACTTGGTTGGTCAGATAGTCTGTCTGCAGAATGATTCTCCAAAACTGAAAGGAACGGGAGGAGAGGCCAGCAATAGAAAGATCAAGTGTGAAAATAGGTCAGACCAGAGAAAAAAGCAGCAGGAAGTCCCCCCGGGGTGTCCCTGTGGTAGGAAGAAGCAGTTGGACAGTGGCTCTTCAAGTGGTTGGAAAGAAGTCCAGGAACCGAGCAGTGCAACTTTCCCGAACTTGCCTTCTTTCCAACCCAACATCATGTTGGAAAGAAATTACCTAAAGGGATCTGCGTTCCACCTTTCCAGCGACACAGCAATTCTCCAAGAAGTGCAGCCAAATTGGGCATGGTGGGAGAAGACACCCACCCAGCCACAGAAGCTCCTTGGGGGACTCCAGGTCAGCCTCTCCCTCTCAGCCCAAGACCCGGCTGGGTAGTGGGAGGCCTGGGTTCTAGTCCTTCCTCAGCCATGGAAGCTCACTTTCCCCCAGCATCTGCCTCTCAGCCCCGCTAGGTAGGCCAGACCAGGAAATCAACTCCACAGGAAGGGCTGGGGAAGGCTAAGACTACTTTGACTGAGAGTGGCTGTTTTGACAGGATCTTGCCAGTCTGATCGTGCGGGAACTCTTCCTCCTCCTTGTACCCCTGTGAATTAGGGAGGTGCCTGTCTGGGCCACTTCCAAAGGTTATCTTGTTGTTCTGGACTTTAAAAAATGCTTCGGCCCCTTTTGCCAGGGAAACAGTTCCTGCGTAACTCCGTCAAGGTCATCTTCCTTTCTGTCTCTACCACCTGGCAGGATAGTTGTGAGGGAAGCAGACGGGAGAGAGCGCACACACACTATTTATTCCATTTGTATGACTGCCCATCTCACCAAGTGACTCTGTGTGTCGTCCTAAGATCCTGAAGGAAATGAAAGGCATACAATCCAAGGTTGGCTGAAATCCGCCAACAGAAGAGTCCGTTTTGGGAGATGTGATTTGTCTTTTCCCTCTGCTCTGCCCACCCCCACCAGAAGTAAGCATGGGAGATCTGAGAGGCAAACTCTTTCCATTTCCCACGCTGACCCTCTCAAAACTCCCAAGTAACCCGAAGCCAAGCTTTGGTAGCCCAATTCTGGTCCTTTGGGGGGATAAGCTGAAGGGATCTGAGTGGAGAAGGGTTGGTTTTTTTCCCCATTTTCATCCTCAAGGACCCCAAAGGGGCTTCAGAAGAGTAAAAACTCAGTTCTGTCCCTCCCGATCACCTTGCCCAGTCGCCATAGGGCATCCTGTGGCCCTCAGCATAGTGGGGGAGTCACTTGTCCAGTTGCCAGGTGGGTGTTTGCCAGGGTACTGGGTAAGATCCCTTCGAGTGTGGAAGGAGCTTGGCGAGATCACCTCCAGCGAGGATTTTGCTCCATGCCGTGACTGCGCTTCCCTCCGGTCCCTCCCGCGGGGCTTGTTGCCTCCATTGCCTGCCCAGTTTCACTCCCCGTTTGCGTTCTCCCCTGGAGAAATGCTGGTTTGCTTCCTCACCCAAGACAAAGCCCTCATTTTCTGAGTCGGGAAGCAGGAACTGCTTGAAGAGGGGCCCCCTTGAAGGATTTCCTTGCGCCCTTCGCAGGAGGAAAGCCGAGACCGGTCCTTGCCTTTGCGTCACAAGGTGGGGCGTTCTTTGTGCTCGGTACACGGTGTGCAACTTGCGCCTTGCCAAAAAAACAGCCTTCAGCTCTGCGATTGGTGGAGGGCCCGCCTTCCCTTGCGCCGGACCAGCTGCGGGAGAGGCAGGTCCCTTGCGCAAACAGGGCAGCTGCCAGAAGCATGTGCCGAACCCGAGCCGGGAAGGGGGGCGGAAATGTCTTATCCGGGCTGCTCTTTCTGCCTTGCCTGCGGAGATCAGTTAATCCGGCCCCGAACCTGAAACTCCCTGGCTCTTGGCAGGCCTCGTACTATGCCATCTGTTCTTGGGGGAGGCATTTCAGGACTTGTTTTGCAGCGCTTCCATTCACTTCAGCACGGGATGTGTGGGAGAACTGCGCCTGGGCTGTGGGTCAAAATCTGTCTCTCTCTCTCCCTCCCTCTGGTGCCCCCTCAGTTACTGGGCGTTTGGCAGACTTGTCTGCGCTGGAGGCTGGGCTGAATTAATGAGACGTTCTGGAACAGGGAGTTTGTGTCCCTGGTAGCTCACAAAGGGGTGCCCTCCAACCCTGGCAACTTTAGGGAAGCTTTGTCTCTGGAATAAGCATGTCTAACGCTGCAGGTTCGGTTTTTTTGTTTGTTTAGCTCACTAAACATCCTGGAAAGTTCACATTTTCGGTCCCAAGTCCTGGATTCACTGAATCAGAGTCGTCTCTGCTGCTCCTCTGGGCGGCTTTTCATATCCCCGGGTTCCTGGGTAAACAGAGGCACGCCCTGGCGCTGGCACATCCCGTCAAGAGCCCAGACTGCTCGGGGCAGCCCCATCAAGCACTTAGT